TATCCTGATTCATAATACTCGATATATATGTTGCCAGTTCCCACACAATCTCCGTTATATGATATAGACTGGTTAGCGTTCACCCATATTTCTCCGGATTGTCTCCTCTATCTGCAAATATCGCGCTCTCCCCATTTTCCGCCTCCTGTGCTGACTTGCACGTTTACCCATCTATTATTCATTTTACCCATTTTATTTTTTTCGTTGCTTGGCTGACGAGAGGGCGTAACTCTCTACCGGTTTCCCCACTCCCCCCGGGATCGGAATGAAATAACGTTTATGTGTTGTAACTAATACGTTGCAAAAACTTTTATTTCCGTAATCTTCAAATCTGGGATGTTGGTTCTTTAGTCTAGATTTGTATCATAGAACGTAACTAACGTTGTATAGTAAAACTTTTCACCCAGGGACATTTTAGAGACGAACTTTACCACAACTAGTAACAGTCTATTCATGAAATATATAGCAAAGACCTAAAGTTAATGCGGGAGGTGCACTCTGCTGGGCAAAGGAGGATCAACTATGAATGAATGTATTCCCGTAGAGCCTGTGAACTAGTGATGATGAAAATTATATTTAAAACAAAATAATAATATGAGTGCAGGAAACTGTCAAAAAAAAAATGTCATAAGCATGGCTTGTAATGCATTAAATGACTCATAAAGTGTAATCTTCCGTGATAGGGAATGTTCTGAAATCCATTGGACTAAGTCACTGTATTCCACGATTAAATCATAAGTTTTCTTGCTTTGTATGTAGTTAATATCACTTGTTATAGACGCGAAATGTGCAAGAAATTCGTTACAGAAAAATTCTTTTCTGAAACTTTTTTTTTATGCCCGTGTTTATGTAATTGATGATGCAAAAAGAAACGTTATTTTGAGGAGAAAAATTGGTTATTGCATTGCAACTAAACTTACTGGCGGAGTGTATGTGTGAATATTTTCGAAACGATGATAAATCTGGAACAAATAAAGTACATGGTTCATTTAAATTGTCTTCTTGTTGCGTTTAAAGAAACCTGTAGATAACTTCGAATTAGGTATTCCTATCTGAGGTAGGAGTTAGACCAACCCGCTAAGGTGGGCTAATGGCATAATATTGCTAACAGCCTCTGACAATAAAAAAGTTGATGGATAGTGCTAAAGAAAAATATGAGAGAATAAGCAAGTTCAGGATCTTGAATGGTTTCAGGTTCTTTATGTTCCAGAGACGTATCGGAAATGTTAGTTTACATGGAGGTGGGATACCTATTATCTGATCTAATTTCTTTGCTTCTTCAATGACACTTGAAAAAAAACCTTCATCACAATGATACTTTTCTAGAAATGTCTTTGTATTACTAAGTACTTTAATAATTGCCGAGAGATCAAAAGTCAGGCGTTGAAGCAGCTTATATTATATGATAGGAATGTACACAATAGCCAGGTACCTTTTCAGTTATGCTTCATGTCTAGTCTTGGGGTCTTTCAATGTGATTTGGCTATAGACAGAAGAGCATTACGTAGCTCTATGATATGATATAACTCTATTCTTCCATCTTGCAGTACTAAGATGCTTCAGTGTCAAATTACTAAATGTTCTTTCAGGAGTGTGAGGATGTAGAAACAGCATATATAAAACAGACTACCATGGTCTGTATGATAAAAAATACTTTGATTTATATGCTAACTGTAAAATGTAATTTTTTATCTAGTTGGTAAAAGATTGGTGAATTAATTCTGGATAGTTTCGCCTAAGTAAGTACTTTATACTTCTTTTTAACTTTATACTTATCCAAAAGTTGACATAACACTAACAAATTTAGAGATGATTTCAATCAGTTGTAACTAACTGTCACTGTTATGATAACATAATTCGTCAACTGTTTCACGAAAAGCCAAGCATTGTTTTCCCAAGGAACTTAACCATGGCTAAAAGTCTTTCAAGAACGGCATGCCAGTGTAGAGTGTCGGCTTGAAACATGTGTTGATCAAAGTTACATATTTTCTGATTAAGATTTAATCTCTAAGACAGCACAGTTCAACTTTTGTAGGTCTCTAAATGATTTACAGATATCTCATGCTGCCCCAAGGCTGTATGATGTGGTTCCCGCTGGCATATCATTTAAATGTTAGTTGATATTCAGATATACTAAAAAGGTTGCAACAGAAGTTAAATACTGAATTTTTTAATACAGAACCCATTCCCTGCGAATTTCATTGTCTACAAGCATATTGAGGAAAGTATATGTCTTTTACTTAGATAGGACCTTGTTTCATGATAATCTGTCTGACATTGTTGGTGATAGGAAGGTAAAGAGTAGAATCACTTGATACATAAAGTGAAGTTGTTAGAGAGGATTGTCATTGGCAATGTTTTTTTTTCTTTTTCATCAGCACTATTTTTGCACTAAACTTCAATAAACGCCACAATTTTTGGTGCTTCTTTCACTCAAAAAAATATGATGCTGAGATCTGTTGCTAATTGTCCTCTGTTCTTGCACTAATTTCATTTTTTTCTTGCATTGGAATGTTCCTCTTGAGCGCGGAATTAATGGAGGCATTTGATCCTGAAACATCTAGTTTGGAGGCAAGCCCCCCCCCAAAAAAGAATAAATCCTACAATATGCACATGTTGTGTGCTACTGTACTAATGTAATAGCCGTTGTATCATGGAGATCCCAACAACTTCCACGAATTGGGATAATAACGTACTTAGGGTGGGTAATGGATTTGAATGATAGTAAGATTAGTAAAAAAACAACAGTGAATGGAACACACTATCAGATGTTTATATAGTTATCCGTTTTGTATAAAATTTTCGTTGATTTCCGATCTGACTGGGTTTTATCTGTATGTTTTAAATTAACGTCAGTGAATTTTTTTATTGTCAGGATCTTCCAGTTTTCAAAACAACCAGTAAATATTTTTGTATTATTTATAATGAAATTTTGTTGTTTTAATAACATATTATTTTTCAAAGACATGAGTTATATGTAAGAGAGCCGAAAGCTCGCAAATAAAAGTATTTTAATGTAGAGAAAAGTCCGTGTATAATTTTATATATTAATTTACCTACATTATGAGTCTTAAACAACAAAGGTCTGATTTATGTTGGGATTGTATTGTATTGTAAGGAAGTTTTAAACGGGCGATTCTTATGGTCTCATGGCGCCAATTTATTTCATTACTATCCCTTTTAGTACTTAATGATGTGAGATCTCTGCAGGTTCCATTGCTGGCGTTATACTATAGCACTGGGACTGGGTGATTTCTTGGGACATCTCTTGGTTGGGTGAAAATCTATACTATTATTCTGCTTGTTTGTATGTATGACCGTTACGCTTTCTGACCGAGAACCTGCTGCATAAGCATGCGTAGTTAGAATGCTTCCTCAAGAAAAACTGCACATGCGCATTATTCACTCCGACGACAAACAGTCTGCCTGTGGCAGAGAGCTGCAAAGCTCAGTGATCGAGTCGTTACAATTGCTGTATGAAACAAGAAGTAACAACAAAAGAGGAATGTAAATATAATTTACTAACCATTTTGTACAACAGGATATTAAAAC